TACGGTTGAGGGTTTAGGGTTTAGGTTTAGGGCTTAGGGCTTAGGGCTTAGGGTTTACGGTTTAGGGTTTAGGGGGCAGGATGCATCACTACCTCTGCAGGGTATAGTCGGTGAAGGCTGCCCCCTCTTCGAAGTCGAAGGATCTGGGGTCTATTTGACTGGAATGGGTACCTCGGGTAATTCGGGTAGGTTACTTTCCAGTAGGCATATGAGGACGGTAAGGGATAATGCTGGTAGATATGCCGGATTTGGTAGTCAACCATGAACCCGTTTAGCCTCAATCTCATGAACACTTTGTCAGGATTCCGACTCCAACACGGTTTCAAGATGACACTCGAGGGGTTACCCGAACCTCCCCCTGAAGGGGGCACCCCCCAAGAATCTAACATCTGAAGCAGTAGGGAATATGTGGGGGTACCCCCTTTGGGAGCAGGTTTGTGAACTTTTACTATTTTGATTTGAATCTGCCCAGGTTACCCTGCCCGAATCCTGCTCTCAACGCTTTGTCAGAGGCTCGCACGCCACGGTGACTGTCACACAGGGTTGCAAAAGAGCTCCATGCAAACTCAAGAAGCCCAAGAAAGCACCCTAAACCCTAAACCCTAAACAATAACCCTAAACCCTAAATCCTAAACCCTAAACCCTGAACCCTGAACTCTAAACCCTAAACCCTAAACCCTAAACCCTAAACCCTAAACCCTAAACCCTAAACCTTACGTTTTGGAGTTTAACTGATTAGGGTGCCAGTGATTGTATCCCTTGTCCTCAAAAAGAAGGTATGCCGACTCATCAGCTACCCTATAAACCTAAACCCCCAAAACCCCCGGTAGCCCTAAACCCTAAACCCTAAACCCTAAACCCTAAACCCTAAACCCTAAAACCCTAAAACCCTAAAACCCTAAAACCCTAAAACACGCAGCGCTGGGCAACCCTGAGACGATGAGGACCCTAGGAGTCGATGGTTGCAACCTGGACCCAGGCGCCGCCCGCGCTTTCCTGGTAGGGGGCGTAGGGTTTAGGGTTTTGGGGTATAGAGAATATAGGGTTTAGGGTTTAGGGTTTAGGGTTTAGGGATTAGAGACTATAGGGTTTAGGGTTTTGGGGTATAGAGAATATAGGGTTTAGGGTTTAGGGTTTAGGGATTAGAGACTATAGGGTTTAGAGTTTAGGGCTTAGGGTTTAGAGCTTAGAGTTTAGGGTTTAGAGACTATAGCGCTTAGGGTTTAGAGCTTAGGGCTTCTAGGATTTCGGGTATATGGTTGAGGGTGTAGGATTTAGGCTCCATGAAATCAATTCCGCTTTGGGCCTGTGGTCCCCAACCACAAGTCTTCAAATTGCCTGTTTCTTCAGGGGGATCAGGGTTTGGGATGGGTTTGTCGGGGGAAGAGAGGCCTAGAGAAGGCTTAAAATACCGGAGACTTCAGGCGCTGAAATCATCAGCCCTGTAGGTACTCGGGCTTGAGAGGGTTTTAGGATTTAGATGCGTGACAGCTACAGTGTCTCGAAGCGCAAGCACACTCTGCAGATGAAGTGCCTTGAACAGCAGCGAGCCGTCCGCCAGGGCGACAGCCAGAAGAGTGCCAGCCTCTTGCCGCATTCAAATGGTTTAGGGTTTAGGGTTAGGGTTTAGGGTTAGGGTTTAGGGTTTAGGGTTTCAAACCTATGGTGCGGGACGTAATGGTCACCTCCCCAACCACAGAGCGTCTCCCAAAGTATCAGGAACCCCAAACACCTTCCGTTTGTTAATCTAAACCCTAAACCCTAAACCCTAAACCCTAAACCCGAAACCCTAAACCCTAAACCCTAAATCCTGACGATGTTTAAGCAAAGAGATGACAATACTGAGCAAGCTACAAGTATTGGCTTCCTCGGTGTAGCTGGCGTAGTCTGCAAATTGCTCAAGCACCTTCAGCTGTGAACTCCCTCCAAGGCTTTAATAGGGTTGAACTAGCCCAAACGCCCGAAGCCCTGAACCTCCTAAACCCCCAAAGACCTACACCTAGACCCCACAAACCCCGTAGCCCCCTAAACCCCAAAGCCCTAAACCCCAAAAGTTCCCCTAAACCGTAGTTAAACCCTAAACCTAAACGCTAAACCCTAAACCCTAAACCCTAAATCCTAAACCCTAAACCCTAAACCCTAAACCACCACCCCCCCCCCCCTGCCCCCCCAAAAAAGAAAAGAGGCCCAGAGCCTTCGTCCACGCCAGGCGCTCGGCGCCCGCGGCGCCGAGGCTCCAGGTCTGGCGCGCGCAGAAGGGGAGGCCCTGTGCATCCTGGTGGTGGAGGGAGCTTAAGGTTTAGGGTTTAGGGTTTAGGGTTTAGGGTTTAGGGTTTAGGGTTTAGGGTTTAGGGTTTAGGGTTTAGGGTTTATTGAGGGTTTGGGGTTATAATGGGACGTAGGGTTGTAGGGTTTATGAGGGTTAAGGGTTATGATGGGATGTAGGGTCGTGGGGTTATAGGTTATATATATATATACACATATATATATATGGTTTAGAGTTTAGGGTTGTGATGTTTCAGGGTTGTAGGGTTGTTGGGATAGAAATTATATATATATATGTATATATACATACACATATTGTTTTATGTACGATAAAATCTAAATAAATAAATACATACACAAAAGTTATGTATATGCATTATATACATATAGGGTTTAGGGTGTAGGGTCTAGGAAAGTGGGATGTAGGTCTATAGGGTTCGCGGGGCTTAGACGTCAGGGCCAATACGGGTGTAGGGGTGCCGTGACTCAAGCCTGAAGGTTCATGGGAAGTCACAAAGATAGGGATAGTTTAGGGTTTAGGGTTTAGGGTTTAGGGTTTAGGGTTTAGGGTTTAGGGTTTAGGGTTTAGGGTTTAGGGTTTCGGGTCTAGGGTTTAGGGTTATAGAACTACCAAAAAAACAACCTAAACCCTAAACCCCAACAAGTTGCGCAGAAGTATAGTTATCATACGTGTAATTGCACGGGTTCACTACCCATGAGAACAGCCAAGAAATTGAAAGATAATGATCGCTACATACTCCTTGTAAGGCAGGATGATTTTCATTTTTTGGAGGGGTTCTTAAGCAAATAGTGGTAAAGCCTGCTTCTACGGGGGGGTATAAGGCTTGTATAGGGTTTGCAGGGCATTGGAGGTGTGTCTCCGAGGCTTATGCTCGTTCGGATGAAGAGGGTGGTTAAAAGTTTGAGGGTTCTGGGTTGTGCGGGCCAGACTACTTAATTCATAAAAAAAAGTTGGGCTGCGATGCTTAGACCCTAAACCGTAAACCCTAGAGACTTCCCTGACACCAAGTCTGAGGGCTTGCGAGTCCAGACCTAAAAACCCTTAAACCCTAAACCCTAAGCCCTAAACCCTAAACCCTAAACCCTAGACCTAAAAACCCTAACCCCAAAATCCTGCCTGCACCAAGACAGAGACCTGGCCATCCTGTCTTCATTGAAAAGCACCCCCTATAGACCCACAGAAGTTTACGACTTAAGGTTGAAGGGTTTAGGGTTTCTGGAGGGTTGGGCAACAGGGAAAACCATTGACCCTTGGAGTTGAAGAGGGTTTAGGGTTTAGGGTTTAGGGTTTAGGGTTTAGGGTTTAGGGTTGAAGAGAAGAGGTCTTAGGCTCAGGGTTGCCTACTCTCCGCACGCCAGCCCTGAAAGGTCTAACGGTTCATGGGTAGTTCTCAGCAGGGCTTTAAGACGAAGGACAGCTCCTACACAACAAAATGTATAGAAATCACCCGCACTAAAGGGTGCATATACCCCTAATTCTAACTTCCAATGAACCTATATACCCTATACAACCCAACGGGATGCCCCTGCTGCCCTTCACCCGATATCCCCCGCCGACGACGACAACTCAAATCCAATAGCTGGCACGTGGAAGCCCTCTGCGATGATGGTAGGTGTTAGGGTTTAGGTTTTAGGGATGGAGGTCCATGCGAATCATAACTGTCCCGAACACCATGTTTTTTTACAGCCTCATGGGAACGACTGGATTTTGATGAGGTGATAAAAAGTGTGCCATGGAATCATCCATCCTATAAGCCCTAAACCTTAGGATGTTCCCCCTTATACTAACAGTCCTTCATAGGGCTTGTAATAGGGGGTACTATTTTCCCTATTTAAAGGGCTGTTAGCATATGGGGGGACATCTCAACCTAAACCGGTTAAACTCTAACCCCCATAACTCATGAGACGTGTCCGCATGCCTCCGTGCAAGCCACGAGCGTCTGCCCAGGTAGGCCACAATTCGGCCTGCGTTGAGTCACACGCACCTCAATCCGGGTTTAGGGTAGCTTGTAGCTTGGGGGCTTTTAGGGTCTAACCCTAAACCCTAAACCCTAAACCCTGAACTTAGGGTTTAGGGTTTAGGGTAGCTTGGGAGGGATTAGGGTTTCAGGCTCAAGTCGTCGTGCAGTCGAACAGTGGTAAGAGGATCTTGCGAAGCTTCGGTTCATCGCTGAAGTTAAGGCCCCTGCAAGCAGACTCAAAAAAGCTGAGCAGCACCAACTTCTGGCTGGTTCTTTGTAGGGAATGAAGGAATGAGGTACCCTATATACTCCCTTAAAGGGTATATATGCGGCCCGAATTCCCTCATTCCCTACAGCGGGACTTCAGCAACACCTTCACAAGCAAGATGGGCCTCCAGGAAGTCGCTGTCCACAGCCCGCCGGATGCTTGCGCAGCCTGTGTTTTGCCATCCGACATTCCGGGGGGGTGGGAAACAAGCAGCTCCAGATGTCCAGATGAGGGCTTACGAAAATCAGGGACCCCTAATATACTCCCCCAAATGTTAGGATTCCCTTAAAAAAAGGACCCCAATAAGGTACCCCCTAATTTCAGAACCCCCCCCATATGGAGATTATATGGAGATTCCTCGTGGAGATGCTCTCCCCCGCCCCCGCGCCCAGCACCCCCTTTCCCAAATCTTGGTCCCCGGTTCAAAATAACAAGTGCTCTTCCGGCTCGATGTTCTCCCGCTACCGCGGGTTCCATATTCGACATCACGCCGATATGGCGAGAGCTAACCTGAACCTCACGGAGAGTTGCACGAACAACACGCCAGCAGCGACAAGTGGTGGAGGTGGCACGGGCCAAGCAAGCCGCAGCCCTAAACCCTAACGCCTATACTCCAAACCGAAGCCTCTCCTAGAACCTCCCCCTCCCCACCAATGCTGGGCGCCCGACGACGCCACCGCCATTCCCGTCATCGAGCACCAGCTCTTGCGTGACGTTCTCTCCGCGGGAGTCAACGCCTGGAAGATGGGCAGTTTTTGCAGCTAAGGGTTCAGGGCAGAGGCTGTAGGGTCTGACGTGTCGTGCAGACAAGTATGCCTCCGCTCCAAAGCCACCACCCTACACCCAACAGCGCGAACAAGCCTCCCAAACCCAAATGCACTTCGAAGACCCTCCGCCCTGAACTCCTAAACGACCGGAGTCAGAATCACGACTACCCGAAAACCCATCAAGCATCCCTAAACCTTCTTGCGCAACCCCGAAGACCTATAAGCCCGTTGAAATCCTAAACACTGGACCCTGAAACCTACACCCCTAAACCCCTGAACCCCTAAACCCTCAACCCCTAAACCCCTAAACCCCTAAACCCCTAAACCCCTGAACCCCTAAACCCCTAAACCCCTAAACCCCTGAACCCCTAAACCCTAAACTCCGGGGCACGCCAAGTCAGGAGTCGGCCGTCGCGCCCGGCAGTGGCCAAGCGCCGTGCCTTTCGCACATTCTTTGAGGACACCCGGTTTAGGGTTTAAGGTTTAGGGTTTGGGGTTTAGGGTTTGGGGTTTGGGGTTTAGGGTTTAGGGTTTAAGGTTTAGGGCTTGGGGTTTAGGGTTTAGGGTTTGGGGTTTGGGGTTTAGGACTTAGGGTTCTCTGAATTGGGGTCCCAAGTTTGGGGTCCTTATTGGGTGTCCCGTTTAAAAGGTGCCGTACTATATAGGAACCCAAAATGAGAACTGCCCATCCTTTGATGTCTCCCAGGTCGAGTGGGGGTTGAGGGTTCGGGGAGTGCTTGGAGGTTCATGGGTACTTGTAACCCCAATTAGAAGTCTACTATTCTAACCTACTTAGAGGACTTAGGGGGCGTAGGGGGCTTAGAAGTACAGTTATAATGGGGCTATAAATTCCCTGAACCTCCAAGAATAGAAGGGTATCGAGTTCGGGCAGCACAGGGTTTAGGGTTTAGGGTTCCGGCAGGCAAAGCTGAGTAGCTGCTGGCCAGAGATGCATGTTGGACACTTTACCATCTCTCTGTTGTGGTGATAGAAGTTGTGAAGTTCCCTGCTTACTTAAGCTGAGGTGGCATAGGGCCTTATACCCCTGAATTTCGATAATATGTAGGACTACATGGGGATTACGGCCCGTGGACATGTCTGAATCAACCCGAGTAAGGTTGAGCTGCTTTCAATCTCTGGGTGTGTGCGTGCCCTTCATCGCGCGAGCTTCAAAGTTGAGCCTCATATGAGGTTGTTGGGCTGAGTTCCTGACCGTGTGGCAGCTGGTTCACCAAGGCTTCGAGTGGTTTCCAGAACATACTTTTTTGGTAGGGCTTAACGAACTGTATCAATTCATAAACTAGGGTTTGTACAAGGGAGAAAGAAAGTGCCAGGACTGTCTTGACACAGAGAGCCCTTTCCGGGCCGGCGCATGTAATGTGCCAAGAAGTTGTGTCGGAAAGCCCCCCCCCCCTCCAAGATGAAACAACCAGACCCCAAAACCTGGAACCCTAAACCCCAAACCTTGAATCTTAAGCCCACCGTACAATGCGAAACTTGGAGAGATGAAGCCCAACCACAGGGAACCCTCCACTCACGAAACTCCCAAGCAAGAAGGCTTGGAATTTGAGGCTTAGGGTTTGGGGCTTGGGTTTAGAGTTTTAGGGTTTAAGGGTTTTAAGGTTTAGGGTTTAGGGCTACCACAGCTGGCCTCAGGTCCCTAAACCCTGATCCTAAACCCTAAACCCTAAACCCTAAACCCTAAACCCTAAACCCTCTTCTCCGAGGTCGGGGCGGGTGCCAGGCCCCGGCCCAGGCCGGCGCGGGCGACGGCGGGGCCTCGCGACATCCCAGAGCCCCAAGGCATGATAAAGCTATCGTAGAGTTTAGGGTTTAGGGTTTAGGGTTTAGGGTTTAGGGTTTAGGGTTTAGGGTTTAGGGTTTAGGGTTTAGGGTTTAGGGTTTAGGGTTGGGGGTTTAGGGTTGGGGGTTTAGGGTTTAGGGGTTTGGGGTTTAGGATTATTTCCCCACAAGAACACCCAATGTATACACGCAACAATGGTGGCCGCACGATTTAGGGGGGGGGGGGGGGCGGTGTTGCTTTAAAAGAATTACTATGAAGATTCAACAACCCTATAACCACTGTGAACCCCAGAACCCCTGCTGCAAGCACAAATCATAAACCCTACACACCCTATGTCTTGGTAGCCCAGTAACCACAGTATAATAAGGGCACCTTTTTTGGGGCTGGTTACTTGATAAGGGAGAAGAGAACCAAACAGAAGCGCAAAAGGGTACCACTGGGCTACCAAGATTTAGAAGCCCCGTAAACCCCGTAAGCCCTTAACCCGGAACCCTAAGCTGCCTAATTGGACCCTAGGCCACAAGCTCTAACCCCTATATAAGTTTAGGGCTTAGGGTTTAGGGTTTAGGGTTTAGGGTTTACCCCTATATAAGCCCGAAACTCACGGAACCCTCTCAGCTCCATAAAGGGTTTAGGGTCTAGGGACTACACTAATACACCCTCTCAACACTGCATCGACAGGCCTGTGGCCAAGACGAGGGGAGATGCCGCCGGCGCCCAGCTAAGTGAGAGGACGCCACCGCCGTGCGCCGGCACGCTCTTCACCTGTACGGGTTCACCCTAAACCCGAAAAACCCTAAGACCAAAAAAAAACTAAAAACCTGAACCCTAAATCCTAAACCCTACAGGGGGTTGGGGGTTGGGGGTTTAGGAGGTTGGGCTTGAAGCTTGAATGTAGAAACTTCGTGGGGGCTTCGGGGGCTCGTGGGGCTTGAGGATTTTCGGGTTCTTGTAATGGCTTGCCCCCCCCCGGCTGCTTTAGGGTTTGGGGTTTGAGGGCTTCAAGGCTTTTTCTGGTGGAGCATCCAGCTTTTCAGGGCTTCGGGAGTATATAGATGTCCTCGAACTCGGACCTCGAGCGAAGCTAGAGGGGCTGGGAGCCGGGGTTTGCGGGTGCTGTCGTAATCCTGCGTACACATCGAAGATGGAAGGGCCGGACTCCGAGAAAGCACCCTGTGCCCTTGAGAAAGAGAGATTTCGGAGAAAAAAACGATGCCGAACCCTCAACCCTAGATCCTACACCCGAAACCCTAGACCCTAGATCCGAACCCTGACTTGGCCTTCGAGGGCACTCGAGGCCATTAGCCATTTCTTAGAAACCCCAACAGTTTTGGGTTCAGGGTTTAGGTGCAACTGTACAGGTGAATTTCTGCCCCTCTCGAGCATCTTCGTAGGTATCCTACCAAGGAAACGTTTTTGGTGTTGTAAAGGGAGGTCATGCCCAACCATGTGGGTGGGTACACCCTGAACCCTGCAGTGCAGATCAGCTAGGGTCTAGGGTTTAGGGCTTAGGGTTTGTGATTCTGGGAGTGTAGGAAGTTTAGGGAGTTTAGGGTTTAGAGTTTAGAGTCATAACTGCCTGCCACTGTTCGCCGCCGGAAGTGCCTCGTCTCGTTTCGACCTTGGTGTAACTTGTGAAACAAGCAAGCTGTGACCCAGTGCCAGCAAAAAGCCAGCACAACGAAGCACGGGAAGGAGGTATGATTGAAAACTTGACGGATAAGGACTTCGCCAGAGTTGCTATCACATGCCAGCACTTGTAGAGAAGTAGGCAGCCGCCCAACATCTCAAGTGGGAGCATGCAGCTCGAAAAGCAACACGAACCATTCCTGAAGAGTGGTTGGTAGTCGGCCCTGCCCATGCAGAACGGCAAAGGGTCGAATGGAAGACCGCACATCACCACTGTCGCATGCCAAAAACTTAGAGAATTGGGGAGCTGCCCAACATCTCAAGTGGGAGCATGCAGCTCGAAACGCAACACGAACCATTCCTGAAGAGCGGTTGGTAGTCGGCCCTGCCCATGCAGAACGGCAAAGGGTCGAATGGAAGACCGCACATCACCACTGTCGCATGCCAAAAACTTACAGAATTGGGGAGCTGCCCAACATCTCAAGTGGGAGCATGCAGCTCGAAACGCAACACGAACCATTCCTGAAGAGCGGTTGGTAGTCGGCCCTGCCCATGCAGAACGGCAAAGGGTCGAATGGAAGACCGCACATCACCACTGTCGCATGCCAAAAACTTAGAGAATTGGGGAGCTGCCCAACATCTCAAGTGGGAGCATGCAGCTCGAAACACAACACGAACCATTCCTGAAGAGCGGTTGGTAGTCGGCCCTGCCCATGCAGAACGGCAAAGGGTCGAATGGAAGACCGCACATCACCACTGTCGCATGCCAAAAACTTAGAGAATTGGGGAGCTGCCCAACATCTCAAGTGGGAGCATGCAGCTCGAAAAGCAACACGAACCATTCCTGAAGAGCGGTTGGTAGTCGGCCCTGCCCATGCAGACCGGCAAAGGGTCGAATGGAAGACCGCACATCACCACTGTCGCATGCCAAAAACTTAGAGAATTGGGGAGCTGCCCAACATCTCAAGTGGGAGCATGCAGCTCGAAACACAACACAAATCATTCCTGTAGAGCGGTTGGTAGTCGGCCCTGCCCATGCAGAACGGCAAAGGGTCGAATGGAAGACCGCACATCACCACTGTCGCATGCCAAAAACTTAGAGAATTGGGGAGCTGCCCAACATCTCAAGTGGGAGCATGCAGCTCGAAACACAACACAAATCATTCCTGTAGAGCGGTTGGTAGTCGGCCCTGCCCATGCAGAACGGCAAAGGGTCGAATGGAAGACCGCACATCACCACTGTCGCATGCCAAAAACTTAGAGAATTGGGGAGCTGCCCAACATCTCAAGTGGGAGCATGCAGCGCGAGAAGCATTGCAGCAATTTGCTAAGCACGCATGAGCCAGCGAATTGCACCTGCTCTTGCACACCCTTGAAACTTAGAAGAGCTGGGTAACAGCCCGTGCTTTCCATAACCCTATAAGCCCTAAACCCTAAACCCTGAACCCTGAACCCTAAACCCTTCATTTCGTGGTGAAGCCGAGCCGCTCACCCCCCTCGCCCCTCCCCCCATCCACCCGCATCGTGAATTCCAATCAGGGCAAGCCCTGCCTTGAAGCCCAAAGAAAGAACGAAACCCTCTAGCAGCCCGAAAAGCCCGCGAAACCCTCCAAAAGCCCTCAACTCCCCCCAGAGCCGAAACCCCACACCCTACAAACCCTAAATCCTGCACCCTAAACCTCCCTACTGCTTGCGTCCCACAGCGGCCAGGAAGGTCAGCACCCCCAGCTCGTCCCCGCCGCCGATGGCCAGGATCAACTGGGGCACTGGGTCCGAGAAGGCCAAAGCCTGGAAGATCCGATTTGTTTGGTTTTGTTCCTTCTTTCCCCACCCTCGGTATGGGATAAAGCGAGATGTTTAACTCAATTCTTCTCCTCGCCCGATCTACTTCTCCTCGCCCGGTCTACTCTTCGCCCAAATCTAGGCTGCCCAACCCCAGAGTGTCCCTGGAGTGCCCAACCCCAGAATGTCCCGGAGTGCCCAACCCCAAAGTGTCCTGGAGTGCCCAACCCCAGAGTATTTCTACTCATACTCAGAAAGACTGGGGATGTTCGAAGTGAAATATATAATCTTTTATTCTATTCAATTAATATTATTATTATTAGAATTTTTGGGGGGGGGGTTGGGATGTAGGGGTTTCGGGTTTCGGGTTTAGGGCTTAGGGGTTGGGGGTTCAAGGTATGGGGTTTGGGGTTTGGGTTTTGGGGTTTGGGGCTCGGTCCGACTTGCGTCTGTCGTGAGAGAGAGCGGGCTTTGCCCACGGCGACTGTGAAACAAGGGTTATGTAACTAGTTTGGGGTTTGGGGTTTGGGGTTTAGGTGTTTATGAAGGGGGCTTGGGGCTGAGGGTTTAGGGGGCTTCGGGTAGCCGGTTTCGGGTTTGGGGTTTAGGGGCTTTAGGAGGTTCGAGCTACGGGCGTATAAAGCCGCGAAGACCCTACAGCTGATGAGTTCAAAGCAGGCTGTCCTGCTTCAGGGTTTAAAAGTATTGGGGGTTGAGGGTTGGGGATTTATGGGGTCTGGGCGTAGGAATCCTCACTAACACCCCCAGCACCACTAAAAACAGCTGCTTTGAGTCTTCCCTTGGCTGATCAACTAAACATCCCTTGCCTCCTAAGGAGACAGCCACTCCAGGCGGCAAGGCTTCGGGCTGAGGGTCCATGTATCCTACAAAAACCCCTAGGGTTTAGGGTTTAGGGTTTAGGGTTTAGGGTTTAGGGTTTAGGGTTTAGGGTTTAGGGTTTAGGGTTTAGGGTTTAGGGAAATGGTGATTAGAAGTACAAACACTCGAAAGTATGTTGCCATGTTGAGGATTTGGGGGCTTGAGTGTTTAGGGTTTAGGGTTTTGGGGGTCCACTCTGGATCTTGGGAACTGCAACGATGCCCTGCGGGCCGAGACCTTCACGAGTTACTACCTCCCTCTATACAACCCCCACCCCCCCTAATCAAGGCTACTTAGCGGGGGAACCTAGGGGGGGGTAGTGTAGAGGGGGGTAGTAGGGGAACCCGCGAGACCTTGACGGCACCCGTCACGAACTTCTGATAGACGTTCTGCCACTCGCCCGGACGGACTTCCTCGGCTGGGACTGGAACATTCTCGTTCTTCTGTCATAAGCGCTTCTCCTTTACGAGACCCAGGAGTACCCAAGGAATATAAAGGGGGTCCTTTTTGGTTAAAAGGGGCTTCGACGGGAACTTAAGCCCCAAAAAGGCCCTACTCTGCGTCCTTGTCTATCTGGTCCGTTTACTACGAACCTGAATGAGGTGACTGCTTCGGGGATGTATATACTGCTACGAATGCGTCCTGGAGACGCATGCCTACACCCAAACCGACAACCCCTAACCCTGAACCCAACATGCCGACTCAGTTTTACTCAGCAGAAAGCTCTGCTAGGGTTTAGGGTTTAGGGCTTAGGGATCAGGGTTTAGGGCTGAAGAGAATGCAGCATTTGTTGTTCAAACGTCTCCTCGTGCTGCGCTTCGCACCTGCGGGTTCTTGGCAAACGGAGCGTAATACCTATGAAACCTATACACATGTACAACCTTGCTCGCCCTCTAGACCCTATAAACCCGATACACGCTACAAAGCCCTTCGAACCCATAAAACCCTATAAGCCCCTAAACCCAATGATACCTATAAACCCCTTGAAATACTAACCCTGTACGTGCCCTTGAAACCCTACAAATCCTAGAAACCCTAAACCCTGATACCCTGATAAACCCTAAACCCTAAACCCTAAACCCTAAACCCTAAACCCTAAACCCTAAACCCTAAACCCTAAACCCTAAACCCTAAACCCTAAACCCTAAACCCTAAACCCTAAACCTCCCACTTGTGGAGCCTTCTTCCGGCTCTCCTGGGGCCGAGAGGCTCGCCAGAGCACGACCTGCGGACAGCACATGTCCGGGGGAGCCGAACCAAAGGTTTAGGGTTTAGGGTTTAGGGTTTAGGGTTTAGGGTTTAGGGTTTAGGGCTTAGGGCTTAGGGCTTAGGGCTTAGGGCTTAGGGCTTAGGGCTTAGGGCTTAGGGCTTAGGGCTTGGGGCTGACGATTAAAAAAAGGGGACCCCCAATATAGATCCCCAAATAGTAGGACTCCCCTCTCCAATAAGGACCCCAAGAAGGTACCCCTAATTTTGGGGACCCCCAAAAATTGTGATCCGGGTTTGGGGCGTAGGGTTTGAGGTATATCTTGCAGTCTTATGGTTTTTGGGGGCCGAGAGAGTCAGAAGTTACTCCTCTGTGCAGGAGAACCCTTTCGCCGAAGCCTCAACCCATTCGGCCCCTTAGGCCCTAAACCCTAAACCCTGAACCCTGCAAATCTAAACCCGATGGCTTAGCGAGGGCTCAAGAAAGCCCCTAGGAACCCTAAACCACAAACTTCAAGCCCCCCAAAAACACCAAGCCCTAAACCCTAAACCCGACCCGAAACCCTAAACCCTAAACCCTAAACCCTAAACCCCAAACCCCAACAACTAACAACTAACAACTAACAACTAACAACTAACAACTAACAATTAACAACTAACAACGAACAGCTAACAGCTAACAGCTAACAACCTAAACCCTAAACCCTGCACCCTAAACCCTAAACCCTGAACCCTAAACCCTAAACCCAAAACCCCCAGCGGCCACCTGTCCATCCGCGGCCCCGGAGGCCAACGTCGAGGCGCCGGAGCTTGCCGGAGCCCAGGAGAGGCAGAGCACCGCCGCCTGGCGCCCAGGGATCGTTTAGGGTTTAGGGTTTAGGGTCTAGGGTTTAGGGTTTAGGGTTTCAGAAATTTAGGGTTTAGGGTCTAGGGTTTAGGGTTTCAGAAATTTAGGGTTTAGGGTTTAGGGGAGCCTGGCCATTCCCCCCCGCCCCCTGGTTTCGGGTTTAGAGTTTATGGAGCCTGGTGCCGTTTTCCCCTACCCCACCCCCCACCCCTCTCACCGCACAGACAGGTTTCAGGTTAAGGGTTTAGGCCCACTCAGACTCAACTCTTTTAGGGTTTAGGGCGTCTACCCCAATCCCGTATCAAGGTGGCTTACTTTTTTTGTTTCCCGCTTATTTGGCTGCAAACACAATTTTGGGGTGCCACAACACGAAGGAGCTTTTTCGCGTCTGGGGTTGGGCCGAGGCCCTCAAAAGAGAAGGACCACAAAGCTCTGAGTTTCTTCAAAAAGGAATCAAAGAGAAGAACACCTTGGCGTCCCCGGAGTTCAGGAACAGCTGCTGGCACCTTGTGGCCCAAGAGCTCTGCGACCAGCTCACCAGAGCTCCAGATGCGCACCTTTGCGAGCGGAATATGGCTACCTGAAGGTTATTAGGGGTTCAGGGTTTAGGGTTTAGGGTTTAGGGTTGAGGGTTTAGGGTTGAGGGTACCTAAACTTGAAAACCCTAAACCTCAAATCTGTGCAGTTCTCTAAGATGGGATCCTTTCTTTTTGTTGAGGGGGGGAGGCCTTGTTATAAGGATGCCGTATTATTTTGAGGGACGAAGCAAGGGACTAAGCAAGGGAGGCCACTTTGGAGACCTACCCGAATGGGAGGGTTTCATTAGGGTTTAAGGCTTAAACCCTGATGAAAACCTGTAGGGTTTCGGGGGTATATAGGTTTGGGTCTAGTGTTGGAAGATGGGGCGTTTTGTCGACAAGTTGGACGCTTCGCAAATGCGCCATGTCACATGGCTTACAAGCTAGACCCTAAACTCTAGACCCTCAACCCCAAACCCCAAACACTAGCAGCTAGACTAGACAACACGAAGCCAGCCCCGCAACAGGCAGGTAGACTCACCGGCTGTAGTTCGCAGCTGCAAAAAATGCCTTCAAAATCTTAAAACCTTAGAACTGTACAGGGCCCCTCGTGACCTGCACATAATATAATGTCGGGGCCTTAATAATTGAAATAGGGTTTTGGGGAGGGGGGTATAGTAGTAGCATGATAAAGGGACCGTAAGGGAATACTATTGGTAGTTGTTGCGACCCCAATATTATGTGAAAAACCCGAAACCCTAAACCCGAAGCCCGCAAGGCAAAGCAAGTCAAATCGGGGACAATCCCCGAATGATATCGACACCCTGAACCCCGAACCCAACTTTCGTGAGCAAGGGTTTAGGGTTTGGGGTTTGGGGTTTAGGGTTTAGGGTTGAGGGTTTAGGGACTTCCCAACACCGCTAACACACCCTGATGCCAGAAACGGGATTATCATGTTGGAGGCATTCGATACCCCTCAGCCCTAAACCCTAAACCCTAAACCCCAATACGTCATCCCATGGTTCCCTTGACGCAGGCCCTTCACCCCACAAACCGTTAAACCCTTAACCCTGAGCCCTAAACCCTAACCCTAAACCCTAAACCCTAAACCCTGAACCCTGAACCCTCAACCCTAAAACCCTAAGCCCTCTCCAGGTGATTTCCTTGAGTCGGCTGCCGCACCGTCGCCGTGCGCTGTCGCGAGCCACCTGCAAAGGTGCTTCCGGTACTCGACCCCAACGTAACCTAGGAATTTCAACGGATACCCTAATTTGGTTTAAAGAGGTCGATAAGGGAACCTAAACCCCAAACAACGCGAATCAGGGCCTACTCTGGGTCCTAGGGTATCTTTCTGCTCTTGCGATGGTCATAGGGTACCGAGGGCTAGTAGAGGGGTTGTAGGGTCTTTGGGGGATGGGATGTTCCTCGACAACGTGCTCCATGGTGCTTGGAGAGTTTAGGGTTTACGGTCAGGGTATCTATAGCTTAGGCCCAAGTCTAACGGTAGCCACAACCAAATACATGCCCCTGCACGTCCCGATGGTCATAGCCTCATGAACATAGCTGGCTTCTCTAAGTACCCATGAAATTTCCAATGCTGGATCCCAGAGTAAGGGGTTGAGGCTTCGCGTTTAGGGTTTACGGTTTAGGGTTTTAGGGTGGAATCAAAAGCACCACCCGTTTGTTTGGAAGGTTAAGTGGCTTATGGACAAGTTGCAGTCGAGCTGCGGTAGCTGATGCTTTGGGCCCAAGAACCCAACTAGAGCCGCAACTTCACGAACCCTAAGCCCGTAAACCCCAAACCCAAACCCTAAACTCTAAACCCTAAAACTTAAACCCTCAACCTACCAGCCTTAATGGGGAATTTAGGGAATCAGGTGCCCTGATGGGCAACCTCGGGTGTGCCTCATGGACCTGTACTTTACAGGCAACAAACTCAAAAATAAACCTTCCTAGGGCTCTAAACCCTAAACCCTCAACCCTAAAAGCCCAAACCCCTACACCCCCAAACCATAAACCCGAAACCCTAAACCCCTAAACCCTAAATTCCCGGGTCACCGAGGACACTCTGAGTCATGCCGCTTGCCAGCATCGTAAGCCGCATCGTTGATCGGCCCGCAGCTGCTCAATGTACGGGCAGCCATGGTGGGAAAAATCGTTTAGGGTTTAGGAAGAGTAGGAAGTTTAGGGTATAGGGTTTAGGGTTTAGGGTTTAGGGTAAGAACCCTCGAAATTTTCTGAAGGGCGTGCAAACGCTCGGGCCCCGGGATTGTCGCGTAGCTTCGGATTGTCGAGGTGTTGAGGCATGTCCTGTAGTCCCCCACCCTAAACCCTAGGTGTGCGCAGAAAGAGCATGGATGATGGTAATCGGACAATACTTGCGGGAAACCTGCAGAACCCTGATGTCAGTTCCATGCGCTCCGGAATAAACCACAAATCCTAGACTGAACCCTAAACCTGAAACCCTCAACCCTAAACCCTAATTCATCCCTAAACCCTAAACCCAGTCATGAGCTCAGGGCAGTGTGTGAGGTGGGAACCGTTCAACTGCTGGGTGCTCCTTGCTGCGACGTGCTTTCTACGACCCGGCTTCCTGACCGGACTGTCTTTTGGCGTTTAGGTTTAGGGCTTGGGGTTTAGGGTTTAGGGTTTAGAATTAGGGTTTAGGGTTTAGGGTTTAGGGCTAGGGGCTTAGGGTTGAGGGTTTAGGGCTTCCCAAGAAGTCATGGAGCAGGCCGGGTAGGCGTAGCTGGGAGTCTGTGCGTGGCAGCCGGAGGTCCTAAGAGCCTGGCAGAAGATGCCTCGTCTCAGCTTGAAGAGCCGATGGGAAGGCGGCGCATCTCGCAGCTTTCGCCCTTGTAAGGCTTGGGGTTTAGGGGGGGGTTTAGGGGGGTTTAGGGGGGTTTAGGGGGGTTTAGGTGTGTCGGGTTTAGGGTTTTAGGGTTTCAGCCATCGCCCTTGCTCGCTCATGCTATTCTAACAAAAAAACCTACAGCAGGTCCCAGCAAGAGCCATAACCCTAAACCCTAAACCCTAAACCCTAAACCCTAAACCCTGAACCCTAAACCCTAAACCCTAAACCCTAAACCCTAAACCCCCACGCCTTGCTAACAGCTGAACCAAAACTCGGAACCCTATGGTCCCTCCACAAAATACTTGCTCGAAACATTGACCGAACAACCCTAGGCCCTAAACCCTAAACCCTAGACCCTAAACCCTAGACCCTAGACCCTGAATCCCCGGCAGCCTACCGCTAAACCCTAAACCCTAAACCCTAACCCTAAACCCACTTTTCGTTGACTTCGGGTGGCCAACTTAGGCCACCGCAGCAGCGTTTCTGCCTACGAGGGCTGCGGCATCTGCACAAGCCCAGCTCTCGATTGGTGTGTGGAGGTTGCAGCAAAGCAGCACAAAAGCCTCTTGAATGACATGTTCTACAAGTTTGGGAGGAGGCCTGAATGCTAGCAGTCAAAAGGGTTCAGGGTCCGTTTAGGGTTTAGGGTTTAGGGTTTAGGGCTTAGGGCTTAGGGGCTAGCGCCTGCACGGCACTTGTTCGTAGTGGCACGACCGCAACGCCGCATGGTGAGACGGGCCGATGCTGCAGTACTCACAGCACGTCGTTGATCTGGCGACAGGTAACAGGGACAAGGGTATTTGGGGAAAAATAGGGGACCTCCCCCAATCTTGATCCCCAAATAGTAGGATTCCAGGACCCATACCCCTAGTTTAACCCCAATTTCTCAGAAAAAGTGAAACCCCGTGATCTTTGCCCAGTCCTAGTGATCGGGACCAAAGGTGGACATATGAAATCTGCCAAGGTTCAGCATTTGGGTTTGGGGTTTAGGAAGAAAAGGTGTGCCCAGTTCAAGGCCACTTCTTCTGCCTTCGTTACGGTCGGTTCCCCAAGCACTTGCGTTTTGGATCCAAACTAGGCCCTAAGCCCTAGGCCCTAAACCCTAAACTCTAAAACCCCAAACCCTTCAGGGGTTTAGCGTGTGCAGGGCTTAAGGTTTAGGGCTGTAGCGTGTAGAGGGTGTAGGGTTGAGGGTTTAGGCTTCGGCCTGGGCGTGAAGCGCACCGGTGCGGGAGGAATCTCATGCCCCCAAGCCGCAAGCTCCCTCACCTTCCTAGCTCGATGCGGTTCCTGAACCTTAAACCCTAAACTCTAAACGCTAAAGTCTAAACCCTAAACCCTAAACCCTAAAACCTTAAACACTTCAAAAACATGATTCGACGCCTTCCGCCTTCTCCACCTTCAAGCCCTCAACCCACCACTGTTGTAAACCTCAAGAACCCAAAAACAGACTTTGCAGTAGGCTTTATTTACATGGAACCGCTTCTGGGATTCTAAGTTTAGGGTTTTAGGGTCTAGGGTTTACGCAAATAAGGGACCCCCGATATACATATTCCCATATACCCAGGCCCCGCACCCCGAAGTCTAGAAGCCCCGAGAGGGACGACGCGCCTCGTCCCCGAAGGTGGGCTCTGGAACGGGGTGGAGGATACCATGCCTGGATTTGATCTCTGGGGGAACACCCTAAACCCTAAACCCGAAACCCTAAAACCCCAAACCCTAAACCCCAAACCCTAAACCCTAAATCCAAAACCCTGAACCCTAAACCCTAAACCCCTAACACCTGAGCCGAAGGCTCCAGGCTTTAGGGCTCAGGCTCTGGTTAAAGTATGGGCCTTCATCTGGGGCCTTTCTGTTTGATCCCTTCGGGCCAGGTATGACCTACATACTAAGCTATATCTAAATACATTCACACACTTACTCATGCGTATTTCTTATGTATTCTGATAACCTCCAATTGAGGGCTTTTTAGGGTCTAGGGCTTCGGGACCCATGATGTGCTGATAATCTGCTTCTGAGTCTGCTTCACGGGATGGGTTTGGTAGAGGGGACAACTTCAGGCCTCCAGTGACCAAGCGTGCACCTCGCCCTGTCAAAAACCCTGCACCCTGGAACCATACACCCGAAGGCCATAATCCCTGAACCTCCAAGACCCTGAACCCTAACACTTATGTAGGGTGCAGGGGGGTTCCCCAAAAGATGATCGTCTTAACACCCAAGAACTGAAAGCCTCACACATAAAATCCCCAAATCCCCTCTGAACCTCAGAGGACCTTGGAACCCTAAACCCTAAACCCTAAACCCTAAACCTGGTGGGGGGGGGGGGGGGGGGGGGGGGGGCATTCCAGGGAAGACCCTGAGCCGCCCGGCACAATCACCAGGATGCCGCAGAAGAAGGTCGCCGAGAAGAAGACCTCCACACACTTTAGGGTTTAGGGTTTAGGGTTTAGGGTTTAGGGTTTAGGGTTTAGGGTTTAGGGTTTAGGGTTTAGGGTTTAGGGTTTAGGGTTTAGGGTTTAGGGCTTTGGCTCGCGCTTTTCGGGTTTTAGGGAGCCTCTGGAAGGTTTAGAGGGTTTGTAGGGATTCTGGTGCGGTGCTTGAGGCTCAGGGCCAAGGTCGGTGGAAGATGCCTCCTTGTAGAGGTTATTTCAGGGAGGGGGTTTAGGGTTTAGGGTTTGGGGTTTTAGGGTTTTAGGGTTTGGATGCCAAGGTTTATCCCCGCAAAATGCCGCAGCTCTTTGTGGGTTTAGGGCGTTAGGGTTTAGGACCTGCTGCTCAGTTTACGGCATGAGATGCCCGGAAGTTCCCAAGGCAAAGTCGGGGCACATTCAAGAAAGGATATTTTGGGCTCAGGGTTTTAGAAGTTAGGGGCTTAGGTTTAGGGTTTGGGGCATATCTGCGGATTGTGATTAAACTAGGGACAAAGATGCAACTCATAAGACTGCCGTGCTTCCCTTTGCTCTGAAGGGAAATCTCCCAGCCCTTCGCTGGCAACTCCTTGGCGGCATACTTAGACTTGAAAGGCCTTGGGGTCCCGTTGTACAACCCTGCCTGCCCGACCACGGACAGAAGGACGATGGCCGTAATGGCACTCAGGGCCATCCAGCGCTGTGTCCTGGATCACTCGAACCCTAAACCCCAAAACCTTACGTCCAGGTTGTGTTTCAGGGTTACAGGTTAAGGGTTGGGGTTCAGAGTCTAGGGTTTAGGGATTCGGCTAAGGCTTACAAAGGGTTTGTAGAGTTTCCGGGGCCCGCGCTTGCCCAGCTGCATGCCGCCGATGCTAACCTCCCAGTTGGGGTCGTCGTTCTTCTTCAGGAACATCTGGGCCAGGTAGGGTTTTGGGTTCAGGGTTCAGGGTGTGTCTCGTGTAGCCGCAGCGCGGCTTGAAACGCACCTCCAGTCCTTCCGCTTTCACTGGGCAGCCAAAACAGGGTTTAAGTTTAGGGTTTAGGGTTTAGGGTTTGGGGTTTAGGGTTTAGGGTATAGACGTGTACGCCACAAAAGCCACGCTGAGGCAGAGGCCATCCAAATGATGGCGAGAACCGAGATCACCACCCTCATGGCGTGGGGTGTGAGGTATAGTACGGGGTCGATGTAGGGTCTACTATAGGGGCCTGAATAGTTAGAATAGGGATTTGATTTTTTTGGGGGTGGGTCATTATGGTAAATTATAAAGGGGCAATTTGGGAATAATACTAGTACTTATTCCGACCCCCCAAAATGAGGGTTGTTGGGGTCTAGGTCTAGGCTTCGACCTGCATCTAAGCGTGCATCCAAGGCACAAGCACTGTGGATTGGTGATGATGGCGACGAGCATCTGTATCAGGAAGATCACCGCGTAGTTGATCTGGAAGTGCCTGCAACTGGACAGTTATGCGAAAGCCTAAGCCCTAAACCCTAAACCCTAAACGCCCTAAACGCCCTAAACCCCCTAAACCCCAAACCCTAAACCCTAAACCCTGCACGTTTACGGTGAAGCTCCTGTCTTAGGGAGAGGTGTGCTCCTACGGCTAGGCTCGTGGCTGTTGCGATACAAATCTTCAACCCCAAGCACAGCATGCCTTACCCGACTTGTTCAAGTGTTGACTAGGTGCAATTTACAGGCTATACAAATTAGTAAATAAATAAGACGAATAGCTAAACACATAAATAAATACATGAATTAATGTGTGCATACACTTATACATCTATCTGTAGATATACATATGTACGTGCCAAAGTTGCACATTCCCAAATAAGAGCCACTAAGTAACCCTAAACCCCAAACCCCAAATCCCAAACCCCAAATTCCAAGCCCTAAACCCTCAACCCTTCACCCTAAACCCCTAAACCCTAAACCACAAACCCTAAACCCTAAACCCCAACCCCTAAACCCCAAGCCCTAAACCCTAAACCCCAAGCCCTAAACCCCAAACCCCAAACCCTAAACCCCAGGCCCCCCGACGTCAGATTGACCTGGAGCCGGCGCTGGATGTCTCCCTCAGGCTTCGACCTTTGGGATTCCCCTACTGGCCCCTCTCATCCTACTACCCCACCCGCCTCCCTTTTTTGGGTTTCGGGTTTAGGGTTTAGGGCTACTCCCCCCTCCCCCCCTGGGTTACCTAAACCTTCACTAGGCTTCATTATACCTAAATTGCCTTAGTTATACGACCTGAGGGGGGTCGTATAGAGGGGGTTAAATAACCTGAAGTAGCTTTAAGTTTAATTGCGCTTAAGGCCGAAAGCCCTAAACACTAGAGTTCACCCGGTTTAGGGTTTAGGGTTTGGGGTTTGGGGTTTGGGGTTTGGGGTTTCGGGTTTCGGGTTTCGGGTTCAGGGTTGAACCGTAAATCCTGCACCCGGCCCCTAGGCATCCCACAGACACCCGAAACCCATTAACAAAGGAGTATCCCAACTACATGTCATTTCTGAAGGATAATCCTTAAGCCACTTCACTAAGAAGCAACGCCCTCAAACCATAAATAACCAGGTCCTATTTCTGCAATGAGACCTACTTCTACATGAAGGGACTTTTTGATGCCTCGGAGATCATGTCGAGGCCAAAAACTCAACAGCTTACTGGGGTCTAGGGCTTGCTTGTGAAGGTTCATGGGTAGTTACAAGTGGGTTTCAAAGTACCTTCACCGAAGTCATATTCCAGGCGACCTTGCTTGTAATCCTACTTCCCAAACTACCCATGAACCTTGAAGTAGGGTTTAGGGTTTAGGGTTTAGGGTTTAGGGTTTAGGGTTTAGGGTTTAGGGATGCACATCCAAGGGCAGGGCAATCTGATGAACTCCCGCCAGGGCCGAATTTGGGTCAGGTAGTGGCCATACCTTCGGACTCGAAAGGGTTTAGGGTTTAGGGTTTAGGGTTTAGGGTTTAGGGTTTAGGGTTTAGGGTGTAGGGTGTAGGGTGTAGGTTGTAGGGGTTAGGGTTTGGGGTTTTGGGGTTTAGGGTTTGGGGTTTGGGGTTTAGGGTTCGGCTGTCGCGGTTTCCGCAGGACCTAATAGGAATGAAAGCGCATAGTGGTCCAGGGGGCTCATTGGGACGTCGTCGAGGACCGAGCCGAAACCCATCTAGGGCTTACACTGGGATTTCTGAAGATTACTTGCTTGAAAGCTCTAGCATCTTGGTATGCTCACAACGAACATCCTCCAAGAAAGCAGGGCATGTGCTAAACCCTAGACCCCCTGGCCCTGCAAATCCGCCAAAGCCTTGGTACCCAAACAACGCCTCCAATTCTAATTCCTTCTGCAAGAGCATCGACTTTAATTTCGAATTCACGTTCTTGACCAACCCTCAACCATTGCATCCCCCAAAAGAACCCTAAACCCTAAGCCCCTAAACCCGAAACCCGAAACCCTAAACCCTAAACCCTAAACCCGAAACCCTAAACCCTAAACCCTAAACCCTAAACCCTAAACCCTACCCCCCAACCCTTCGGGGGATCCCCCAAAATCTCTACTCTCACTCTGGGCCTCTGCTTGAGCGGCTCGAGGACCTGGAGGCTAGGGTTTAGGGTTTGGGGTTTGGGGTTTGGGGTTTGGGGTTTAGGGTTTAGGGTTTAGGGTTTAGGGTTTAGGGTTTAGGGTTTAGGGTTTAGGGATCAGGGTTCAGGGTTTAGGGTTTAGGGTTTGGGGTTGAGGGTTTAGGGCTTAGGGTTTAGGCATGCGTGCAGACTATAAGCTCCCTGGTTGAAGGTTTAGGGGTTTTGGGGCCTAAAGTTTAGGGTTTTGGGGTTTAGGCTTCTAGAGTTTGGGGCCCGCGCTTTTTGTCGCGACTTTCTGTGTGCTAAGGTCTTGGGATCTGTGGGGTTTGTAGTCTTTCTATGGTCTTTTGTTTTGGTTGTTGCAGGTTGTTTTGATCAGGGTTTGCGGCTTTGCAGGGTTTGGCCCCGAATCCTAGCTAGCACCTACACCTACAGCCCATATTGTTGCACCCTCTCCCCCCCCCAACCGAGAGACGCCCACAATTTCTTCAGGCATGTACCTTCGTTCAGAATCAGGGCCCTGCATGTAGTCTGAGGTACATTCCTGAAACCTGCACCCTATAAACCCTACAACCCCCGCCCGACCCCCCCACCCCCACCCGGCTAAAGCGACAGGGACATCCCCGCCCCTAGCCTTTTTCAGCTCCTCTACCTGTGACATGGGCGGCTTCTCTCCGTCCATGGTTCCCTGGCTCGGAAAACGTGGGAGGGCCAAGCGTTTAAGGGGTGTTCGATCTTCAGAGCTGGGGTTGAGGGTTTAGGGTTTAGGGTTTAGGGTTTAGGGTTTGAGGAAACAATTTTGGGCGGCTTTCGGGTCTTTTTCAGGGTGCAAGCTTGCCCGGATGAACACTACACCCGGAAACCCCGAACCCGAGTCACCCGAATCCTCCCAGTCCGATCACCGAGATGAGGGATTCTCGGGGCTTCTCTCAATTCTGGCGAAATCATGGGCCCTTTTGTTTGAGTGCCCCAGCTGCAAGCCTCCGTATGCTTCAAAAGAGCCCCAAAGAAGAAAGGCCATGGGTATTTTCCCTAAACTCTAAACCCTAAACCCTAAACCCTAAACCTTAAACCCTAAACCCTGAACCCTAACCCTAAATCCTAAACCCTGGGCCCTAAGCCATAATTCGGGGATCCTAGACTGCCGCCGCCTCCAATTCACAAGAAGGCCTAAACATGGCGCGGCTTGTCCTGGTTGTATTTTGGGTTTAGGGTTTAGGGTTTAGGGTTTAGGGGGGGAGGGGGGGGGGGGTCCCGTTCGGGTGGGGAAGCTCAGTACAGCAAGGCACCGGGCGCCCACTGTTTGGGAGGCCTTTTAACCCCCCTCTAAACCCCCTCTAAACCCCTCTAAACCCCCTCTAAAAAACCCCTAAAAAACCCCTCAAAACCCCCTCTAAACCCCTCTTAACCCCCTCAAAACCCCCCCTCAAAACCCCCCCCTCAAAACCCCCTCAAAAACCCCTCAAAACCCCCTCAAAACCCCCTCCCCTCAACACCTCTAAACCCTCTCTAAACCACCTCTAAACCCCCTATAAACCCCCTAAAAACCCTAAAAACCCCCTAAACCCCCTAAACCGTCTAATCCCAGCCCGCCTGCACCCCAGCTGGGAGCTCGCTGGCACCGACTTTCTCCTGCCCAGGGTTTGGGACCCGAAACCCTAAACCCTAAACCCTAAACGATCCTGTCTGGGTTGTAGGTCTTTGGGTTCTGGGGTGCTGGCGTGCAAGCTCAGGGGGAGTTTCAGTTCAGCTCCAGGCTTGGGCTTGTGGGCTTGGGGTCTAGGGTTTAGGGTTTAGGGTTTAGGGTTTAGGGTTTAGGGTTTAGGGTTTAGGGTTCACGGTTTAGGGCTTCGGGTTTTGCAGTTTAGGGTTTGGGGTTTAGGGTTTTGGGTTGTACGGTTTTGTTGGTTTTGCAGAGAGGCGTTGATTCGCAGCATGTCTCCAAGCTCAGCAACTTGAGCCTGCCTTCGCTGCGGCAGTTTCAGGGCGTAAGGCAAGCTTGAGGTTTCGAGCTTGGGAGCTTCTAAGACCGAAAGGTGCTGCCCTTGGGGTTTAGGGTTTAGGGTTTAGGGTTTAGGGTTTAGGGTTTAGGGTTTAGGGTTTAGGGTTTTGGGTTTAGGGTTTAGGGTTTTGGGTTCGTAAAGACTCCTAAGGGTACTCTGCTAGTAGGGGCCATATTCAGAGTACTTTCGGGGTACAACCTTGGGGATACAAGCCTTAACCCTTTGAGAAACCCTGAACCCTGAACCTCTCTAGGCCCCAAGCCAGAAACCCCCAAACCCTGCAGGCTTGGGTGTCTGAGTGCTCAGGTCGAGGGCTCCAAGCACCCTAAACCCTAAACCCCAAACCCGAAAAACCCTAAACCCTAAACCCGAATCCCTAATCCCAAAACCCTACACCCTAAACCCTGAGCCCTATAACCCTAAACCCTAAACCCGACTTTGGACTTAGTGGTGGATCCCTGGGCTGAGCCCGGCACGGCTTCGGGCGTCATGTCCTGAGGATTCCGCGAAGTGGCTGCGAAGGAGGGAAGTTGGGGGGGGGGGGGGGGGGGTTTAGGGCTTAGGCTTGAAGATGGCAGGTTTAGGGTTTAGGGATTAGGGTGATTAGGGTTTAGGGTTTAGGGTTGTGGGGGTTTAGGGGGTTCAGGGCTTAGGGGGTTCAGGGTTTAGGGGGTTCAGGGCTTAGGGGGTTTAGGGTTTGCGGTTGAAGTGCAGGTTGGTACGCGCTTTTGGACATCTCGAAGGAAAACACAGCCGCCCCCAAAGGGACCCAGAATTGAGCTGACAGAGGGTTTTTTTTTTTGAAATGCAATGACTCCCGTTTAGGGTTCAGGGTTTAGGGTTCTGCTCGCCTTCTCATGCTCGAAAGGGGGTGGGGCTGAAGTGCAAGAAGCCGTACTTCAGCATTAGATCATTACTAGCTCATGGTTGGGATAAGATTGAAGTTTGTTATTCCGTATTGGGTTTAAGTACCCTTAAAGATGTAAAATGCTACCCAACTATGACAAAGATGAGGGGGTACCTCCCCAAAGCACCCATGCCGAAATGGACCCATCCCAAAGCACAGGCAAGGGGGCGGCCTGAAC